TATATTATATATTTAAAACGTAAGTCCTGCAATTCTTTTCCCAAGAAATCAAAAGGACTTAAAAAAAATTCCAAGATTTAAAGATAATTCTGAAGAGAAAAACAGAAAATTGTGTGTTTGTGTTTGTGGGCAATGGGAGGGGAGAAAGGACAAGAGATGGCGCAATGACTTCTAACCTTGATAGTTCACTGGTTCTCCAATTACCTACATCCCCCACTGGGATTTTTTTTTTCTCAAGCTCAATTTGACTTCTCTCTCTGCCCACTGACCTCTTCCATTTTGCCAGTGACATCCCTGCCCCCTCTGTAAAAATAGCTTTCACTCTAGTTATTCACAGGCACACAATGCCTCTTACATTTGACTCCCTGCTCTGTCTCTTTAATCCTATAATCCAGTGCACTCTCAGGTTTTAATTTTTAATGCTTCCCCAAATTTATTGTTTTATTTTCAGTATCACTGCCATCATAATAATCATTAACAAAAACTAATAAGTGCCAGCTAATATTTGCCATATGCCTGAGCCTGGTTCAGCATGAGACAAAGATTTTTATACATTTTTTATACATTCAGCCCCACCCTGTTCCTGACATATTTTTGATATGGGCAGAGAGTTTATTAAGTATTTCCATAATTAGCTCTTTGACCTAGTTTCCTTTTTGAAAGACCTGGAATCCCAGTGCCTAGGATAAGCTCTCAGGAACTATAACTTACTGGGAATACTGTTTCCCCTTTAACAACAGGGTTTCTACACCGAATTCTAACTAGCACACACTGCCTCCCCCATGAACTGGGGCTCTTTTTTGAATATGGGGTCCTAAAATTATACATAACTTTGTTATAGGAATACTGAATCATGTTCCCCTGATTGATGGGGTCCTGATCCCATAGCCTAAGGACACTGGGTACCTACACCATCTAGAAAACCTTGTTATGACCCACCCTCTGAAACTGAGCCTCTTACATTCTACCATCATATCCTTTTATACCCATGACATTGATCATATAGATTGCTGGCCATCTCTCCCTGTGGATGGTCTTACAGAAGGACCAATAGCCCCAGGTTACATGATCCTGGCTTCCTGCCATTCTTAGCTTCCTACCAAATATTATGAAGTCCAGCTCTTCTGATCTAGGTCATTCTTAATCATTATTTCATTTAATTAAAATAATCAGTGAAATAGAACTCATTATTACCATTTGTTGAGAATTTTAGAACTCAGAAAGTACATTGTAGGACCTATTCCATGTCACAGGGCTGTGCAGTGACAGAGATTCATACCCAGAGCTTCCTATTTCCAACCTCATATTATCTGCACATGAGGTTATTATCTTTTTCCGTGTTTTATAAGGACAAATGCAAGAGATTTATAACTATAGGATGCAAACCATCCCATACATTATTATAAGAATATTCTTCCTAAATCCTCATGGACATCATATAAATCCCAGGCTCTTGTCTTCCATGTTTTCCTGATTATTTTTAAAATGAGTGCTAATTCCCCATTCAAGGATGTGAAGGTCTCTGTAATCTGAGTCCAGACTACCTGTCGACATGTATCCTTCAAACCCCTCAGCACAGGTTGTTCTTGAAGTTCCTTTTTTTAAATTATATCTACTCCAATTACTAGAGTCCAGTTCAAATCCCATGAAAAGGTTTCTATAACTTTATGTAACCAAACCAATCCTCTTTACGTCAATTTATATGCCACATTGACATTTAACACAATTCCATTCTAAGATTGTTTTTTATCCCATGGGGTGACTCACTAAAATTTCCCTCCTCTAAATCCCCATATTACCTAATAAATTTTGCAGGGGATATTCCAAACATCTCATCATCACTATTTTAAACCCTGTTGCAGTATAGAGTTTGACTTATTTAAGTATGTGTTCCTTCTTCCATGCCTAACACAATGCCTTAAGAAAAAGGAGGGTTTATTAATTTATTAATTTATTAAATGAGTTCAATGAAAAACTAAGTTGAGGAAAGAAGGGAGAAATAAAAGAAATATTCTGAATAGTATCTACTTGAGATGGTAATGAATTATAAACCTTCATAGAGCTAGTTATAATAAAAAATTATGCCAATATTCCAAAGAATGTTACATATCATGTCTGCCTGAAGAGCAATCTAAAAATGTTGAAACAGTACACTTTCTAAAAAATTAAAATAGAATGCTTAAACGATTTTTTGAATCAAATAAATTTTTTAAAAAGATATTAAATTGTTAATATGCAGCATATTCATAACAAAGGTCTTTTTCCATCTCTTGATTTTTAAGTTGTGAAAGAACTACTACAGTGTTTATTCCTTTAACTGCATTGAAGAAAGTCTTCAAAACTGAAACTACTGTCTTTGCTGATTAAAAATTAATTCTTGACACACAATATCTCAACAATATATGACATCTTGGTCTTTAAGGGCACAAGTCCATCCAAGTCACTGGATTTGGGGGATCAGAACAAAAAATAAAGAAAACTTGTATGAATTTTTTTCAAAGATCAACTTCAAGTAAGTTAACATTCTGACAGTTTAGGAGGCCAGATGTATTTAAATAATATCCAGCAGGAAAAAGAATTTATCCATGAATTTAGCTAATATTCTACCTTCATAGTGACATCTGAAAAACCTAAGTTTTACGATTTTTTTTCCATTTGTTTAGCTTTATGTAAATATATTTCATAGTACAATTTCATCTATTATCTTGATAAGCCATAAAGAATAAAGGGATATTTTCTTCTCTTTGTCCTTATCCTGTGATAAGTGTGCTATATTATTCTAAATATCAAATAAATATTTTTAAATAATATGTGACTATAAAATATAATGCAAATTTAGGCAGAATTCTACTTTTGTATATTATTAAAGGTGAACCAATCTCTTCCCTTGAAAAGAGATGAAGTATTTGAATTGCTTCAAATTTCTACATAGTGGATGAAAATCCCAAGGTTTCATAACGCTAATTAAAAAAAAATATCAACCATTGCTGAGATCTAGGTTGGTTATAAAAGTTATAATGACTCCTTTTTCCACCTGCCACCTTTGCCAGGTATTGCCAGCGATTTCCCCAGAGGCAGGCTGTCCTATGGACGTGGTATTCCTCTTTTGGGGACAAAATAGCTAGTGTTTAACTATGTTAACATGAAACTTTGTTGGCAGTGTACCTAGAATAATGCAAATCTTTCCAGTTTCCTGCTAATTATTTTAGCACAACTTATTCAAGCTAATGTTTATCAAGAACTTCAATCCAGCAGGACTGTATTATACTTAGAAATTACCTTCTGAAGTTTCCTCAATACAAACAGAAAAAACGCAATTTAACAAATAAGCATTTTGTTTATTTTTATTTTTTTTATTTATTTCTTTGTTTTTTGGTACTGGGGATTGAACAGAGGAGTGCTTAATCAGTCACTGAGCCACATTCCCGGCCTTTTTTATTTTTATTTTGGGACGGGATCTCGCTAAATTGCTTAGGGCCTCCCTAAATTGTTGAGGATGCCTTTGAACTCACAATCCTCCTGCCTTGGCCTCCAGAGCTGCTGGGATTATAGGCTTGCGACCTCCTTGCCCAGCACAAACAGACAAAAATCAAAAATCAAAAATTTCCTCTGGTAGTCAACTATTAATCTATTACAGGGAAAAATCTATAGTTATAACCCATAAAAGTAGGGTTTGGAAAAGCTAGTCGGTCATCTGGAGAATTCTAAATTAAACCTTTTATGTAGAGAAAAAAAAGATTTCAAAGGGAATAACCCAGAGAAATCTTTTTTCCTTCCCAGTATAATTATAAAAATAATTGCAAATCCTCAAGTACAATAAAATTCTATTAAACATACAACCCACTGACCTTTTTGTTGAGGGGGTCAAATTATCCTCCCTTTTTGCATTATCTCTTTTCCTGTATTTATATTGTTTCTGTTGATATTTACCCTGAATCCAACTATGAAATTATTTACTAATTTTTTCTACAAACCAAACACAATATTATATAAATAAACTCCTAAACTAATTATATCTCTGTTCCATTCTGCATTTACATTTGGTTTGTCCACTGACATGAGATTGAACCAAATTCTGTTTCCTCTAAAAAGGTCATTTAAAAAAAAAATACATGCTACTAAAACAAAAACCAATAAATTTCTGTGTTTCTAAAAAACATGATCTTTAAGAGAAATTTTAAATGCCAGAACCAAATGTTAGACACTTTTTCTTTCCTTTTACAAATGCCTAAAGATTAAAGGAAAAGCTTTTGCTTAGGGAATATATATTATTCACTTCCATTTTAGGATGGTGTTTACCAAAATATCATAAATACTTAATAGCAACTTTCCCTAGTGCTTCTAGCAAAAGGCAGTAAAACGAAACATAAACCTCAGCTGTGAAAACCCAGGATCTTCGTGGTGCATTTCATCACTCCCTTCCCATACGCTGTCGAGGAGAGCCCGGATCCTAACCACCACCAGAGCAGCTCAACTGAATCCCAAACAGAAATATTATGTGCTCTAGGGAGAGGATTCATCATTTAAATGGAAAGAACAACTGCAGTCAAATACTCAGCCACTGGTTCAAGATGCCTGACATACAGCTAAGAAATGCCATAGTTGGAAGGCAGAGTAATCACACATTCCAATCCAAATTTTTCATTTTACATTTGTCCTATAAAGTCTATCTAAAAGAAAGAAAGAAAAAAAAAACCTCGAGATAGCAAGACGGTTAACTCCATGCTTAAAAAGGGTAGAAGTATCTAAAACAGAGATCACAGGCTGGGGTTCTCAGAGCCCAACCATGCAAGAATTAGTGTCAAATCTCACTTGCAAACAAATCCAGATTTTTAGAATTACACTGTGGAAGAGTGGAAGAGCAAGCAAATCTCTTTCTTATGCTCTTTCTTCTCCATAATGGCCACCTGCACTAGACACTAAGATTATTTCTTATTAGTTTAAAATGTATGTACAATGATCAGTCCTTCCTGCCCATCTCCCTCCAGAGATAGACTCACAGAATTGATGATTCCTTTAAGAGCCTGAAATCCACCTTTGACAGGGAAAACTTGTTCCTTGGAATCGGCAATTCTTTCGAGCTTTAGAAAAAAAGAGAAAAGCTTACTTAAGAGATGGTTGAGACAGACAATTCTTTATAAACTTATGTTAAACTTACATGTAAATTTTAAGTTTTAGTTATGTATGTCTGAAAAGTTACTCTTCAGGATTCATTCACCAGTGTGGCCTGTAAACTGAAGGTGATAAGATTTGTGTTCCTCCAAATGTATGAAATAACTGAGGTCAGTCTCAGCCCCGTGACACAGCCTCAAGTTGCAATTTTACAACAACACAGAGTTCTAACAGCTGTTAATGGCAGGAGACTCAGGAATCTAAGCTATACTCAAGCAAGAATTTGAACGTAAAATGATTTTGTGAGGGAAAAAAAAATGTAGTACCTAAACCCTCAAAAAAAACTTCTTGAAAAAAAATTAGTTTTTTAAGAAAAATTATTAAAGATTTTCAAATGGAATTTCCAAATTCCTGCACCCCTAAGAGTCAAAATTTAAACCAAAATAATAATTATAAATAAGACTAATAATCCTGTCATTTTAATTGAAGGGATATTCACATAATTTTAGTACAAATGTTTGTCTTGTATTATTTCCTCCAACCAAATAATGTTCAAATACTTATTTAGAATTTTGTTTTCAGTAACAAAACCTATCAAAATTCTGACATTATGAAGGCAGCACTCAAGACATAAACCATTTTATAAAAAACCTTTGTAAGAAGTCATTAGTGAAAAAAATTTGTTCCCCTATCCTTAAGGAATTATGGGATTTAAATTTTGCAGAACTGTTTTAACTCACCTGAGCTTGTTCAAAATCAAGGACACCAACGCAATAAACATTAGCACCAAGTGACCTGGATATCTTTGCCTAAGAAGGAAAAAAATGAGGAATAGAGAGGAGAGGAAAGAGGGAGGGGGAGAGACAGAGACAGAGAGATACAGAGTTACTCAATATCCATCTACACATGCAGAAACACACAGCCAGGCACAGCAGTGGGGTGTAAAGAACAGTTTCAGTTCAATACTCACCTCTTTCTCTGCATATGATGGCACCAGACCGTCCAACTTACCATCTGTCAGAGCAATTATGATACTGGAGGTTTTTGAGCCTCCTGCTTTCTGAATTTGTTCATTCGCCTGAAAATGAAGAATAATTATCCAACTCACATTTTAATTTTAACTTTTAACCAGTATGTTCCATCAAGCTAAATTTGTAAGTCTGACAAAGTAAAAATATTACTGACTAGCGCATAAAGGAGGATATTGTAACTATTTTATTTGAAATATATACATATTCACATTAAAGAGTAGTTAGTATTGGGTTTAAATGACAAAGGTTTTTAGTTATAAGTGAATAATCTGAATTATGACCACAAAAGAAAATGGGAAATTCCTTAATAGACAAAATGCATCCAAACTTTTCTTATCACTACAGTAAATAATGCTTTCTACCAGACTCATCTCTAGAATAACTAAAAGCATTTTAAAGATAAGTATATAACAGTTTTTTGAGCCTTGCTAGATAATTGTATTTCATTACAGAATAAGAAAGCATTCTCTTCCATAGATTCAAGTGTGAAGTGACTTACTAGCTTTAGTCCTTCATGGATATATGTCTCTCCCACTGGACTAACACTTTTTAAATCTTCCAAACCTTTATTGATTTTGTCTCTGGAAAAAAATGTATTATAATATTAAACAATGCAAAAATGAGCAAACGCCACAATAAATACTTCTTGAATAACATGAAAGTACTGCAACTAGGCTTCTGCAGTAAGAAGTAGAGGAATGGACATGGGCTTTGCAAACAGAGAGCACTTCATGCTGTCATTTCAGTAAGCATTTAATAATTTTCATTTTTTAACCATGAAAAGTTAAAGTACTAAAAATATCCTGAAAAATATCTGAGTATATCTTGGGCATTTTGAGCTAAGAACAGATACCTTCAATCATGTTTGTTTTATTAAATGCTAAGGAGTAAAAGATGCTTTCTATCACCCACAAAAATACAAGGATTAAATAGTTCAACTTCAGTGGAAAAAAAATATTTCTGAAACACTCACCCCACCTCCCTGAAAGTGGGGAAACCTCTTTATTATCTGAAAATTCCTAAAACACATTACTTAGCCCTTACATATGGAAATTAACATTTTTCTACTTCAATGTCCCAGTCTTAAGTCTCATAATTTATTAGCTTTTCTGGCAGCTTTTTGCACATTCATATACCATCACATTCTCTTGGATATAATAAGTACTTAATATATACTTAATGAATGAATGAGAAGGTAATGGATTCTTGGGAGAGGCAATATGAATGAAAAAACAAAGAATAACCTTTTTATCATGACTAATTCACTGTCTCAATGGAGTATGTCGAAACAAGTATGACTACAATATTATTAAGAACTATCTCTGTATATGGGGTAAAAATGGGAGCTCATAACCCACTTGAATCAAAGTGTGAAATATGATATATCAAGAACTATGTAATGTTTTGAACAGCCAACAATAAAAAATTAAAAAATAAATAAATAAATAAAATAAAAATAAAAAGTTAAAAAAAAAAAAAGAACTATCTCATATACATGAGTAAAATAAAACCCAATTTGAGGGTTTTTCAAATATAAATTTTAAACTCCTTTAAAAATAGATAAAACCATAAGAAGAGATAAATAAATGATGATGTAAAAACTATCCAAAATAAATTTAAAACTTCTTTTTCAAGTTTAAATTCAAAAGATCAGTACGATACCATTCTCCATTCTAAGAATTTTAGTTTTCCAATAGAAGCAAAAAAAAAAAAAAGAATTCCTTTTAAATTCTTGAATTGGTAAACCCAATTTTATCTCATTAAATATAATATGAATAGTTTTCACTTTACTGAGGATGATACAGAGGGAGATTAATAGAAAACAAAATCATTTTATCATCAAAGAATGACTGGAGTCAAGGAATAGAACTACTATATGACCCAGCTTTATCACTCCTCAGTATTTATCCTAAAGAATTAAAGTCACCACACTATAGCAATACATGCAAACCCATGTTTACAGCAACACAATCCACAATAGCCAAATTATAGAACTAGGCAAGGTATCCATCAACAGATGAATGTATGAAGAAAATGTGGTATGTATACACAATGGAGTTCTATTCATTCATAAAGAAAAATGAAATTATGTCATTTGTAGGAAAATGGATGGAACTTGAGACCATTATGTTGAGTAAAATCAGCCAAACTTAGAGGTCAGGGTCATGTGTTTTCTCTCATATGTGGAAGTTAGAGAGGCAAAAAAAAAAAAGAAGAAGTGGGGTAAAAATCAAAGGGAGATCCTTTGAATAAAGGAACCAGGGGGAGGGAGAAGGGAAGGGATACGGGAAACACTGGGGAATGATACTGGCCAAATTATATTTGCTATATTGCATGCATGTATGAGTATGTAACAATAAATCCCACCATTATGTACAATTATAACGCACCAATAAAAAATGTGGGAAAAAAGAATGACTGGAGTCAGACACACAAATGGTCTCTTTAAAACATTGTACTTTAAAATAATTTAACTAATTGCATTAATTAGAATTAATTTAATGTTTTCACTTCTCAGCTAGAATAAAAGTTTACAATGTTCCATCCCCATATCTTTTATTTATGATGTATTTTTCTGCTCTCCACACATTACTTATTATAATGTCTTTTGTAAAGTCCATGTTCAATAAATTTTTCAATCAACCACTGAAAAAAATTAGTAATTCCACAGATAATAGAGTAATCTGCATAATGGATAAGGTTGTTTTATCTAAATATTTATGTTTGGTATATATGGAAACAACTCAAAACTGATTTTGTCTAAATGCAGATAAATACCAAATATTTGGTGCTTCCCAGAAATGAGTGGCAGTGTGTCCTCAAGCATTGATGTTTGCTGCCAAAAGGGAAATGAAAAAGACAACTGAAATACAAGTTTACACAAATAGAATGTGCCTGGTGAAAATAGCCTTCTCCATTCAGTTCAGATCAGCTCACAATTGGAAGGACCAGCATAAGACTCTTGAGAGGGTAGAACTTGCTGAATATGGTCTTCAGAGACTTTTGGAAAGGTGGACTACACTGCAGTGGTCTAGGACTCTTAATCTAGTTAAGTAGAGAAAAGCAAATTGATGTAATAGTTTAAAACAAAACTCATCCATCCACATTATAATGTTAAAGAAGACTCCACAGAAGAGCAAAGAAAAAATAAAGGAGGAGAAGGAGGGAGGAGGGAGAATGGGGAAAGGAAGGAAGGGGGAGGAGGAGGGGAAAGGAAGAAGTGGTTATGTTACAAAGATAAGATCAAGTTCAGCATCATCTTAGAAAATCTGCTTCACTAAGTTTTGCTTTAACGTTAGGTCTTCAACCTCCAGGGACAGCAATATTGAAACTACTTCAGTATTTGTTGTGAAACTGTTGTCAAGGATGCTGCTATCATGATGTGCAACTGTCCCCTATGAGGTCTCACAGCAGAAGCTTCTTTGTCACCCCTCAGTAATTGCTGCACACTTCCTCCTTTCTGCTATTTACAACTATGTAAATGTTTTTCTTGCCCTGACTACAGGAAAGCCCACAGTGAGTTTCTTATTCACAAAATTCTAAGTTCTAATAGTTATCAAATTGCTTCAGCTTTTTTTCCAAAACCTTTTCTTTTAATAATTTATTAATTTTCTGTATTATTGCAGCATCAAATGCTTTTCGTAAACAGGTAGAATTTAAACAAATAAAATGTTTTTAAGTTGAGAATTAGAGAACCAAACTCTATAATCCACTGGAGAAGGAGGGAGTTGTGGGGGCGTGAAAGAGGGAGGGCAACCACACAATGCCTGGTTTTTCATTCGTGAAGCTTTCAGCTTTGTATCTGTCAAATTTCTCTGCTGAGACGGAGGGGAGGAGAGGGGAGAGGTGGGGAGGTAAGGGTCCTCAGAATATTCTAATGTATTGCAAGAATCAAGAACCTCTGATCTGCTGGTGAGGTGCTGCACACCTGTAATCCCAGCAACTTGGAAGGCTGAGGCAGGAGGATCTCAATTTGGAGACCAGCCTCAGTTACTCAGAAAGACCCTGCCTCAAAAAAGGGCGGGGGCGGGGGGGGCGGGGACTGGAGATGTCAGGGAATGTGGCTCACTTCACTGGTTAAGTGCTGTTGGGTTTAATCACTGGTACACCCCCCGCAATAAAAGAACCTCTGATCTAATCTAATTGGAAAAGCTTCCCACGTTGTTGGGATATTTGTTCTCTTGCCTATTTTAACAGTCAGTTCTATTCAAGGGGTTTGGGGTAAACATGATGATCTTTTAAACTATAAATACCCTTTCTGGGATGATATGAATCAAGAGGAGCACAGTCTATCAACTTTGTTTCTTCAGCTATAAAATAGGGACTAAAAATACCTTCCCTATGGGAACACTGTGAGAATTAATGGCACATAATAAGCACTAAGCTGTAGCTACTAGTGTTATTGTTGATGTTGGGCATTCCTCTGTCAGTATGATTTTGTTCATTCAGTTGACTTTCTTCCTGCTTCCAAGCAAAGATCATACAGCAAACTGACGGTCAAAATTTTATCATGCAGGAATCAAAAACAAAAAAAAAAAAGGAGAGGAAAGAAAAAATTAAGAGAGGAAAGAAAAAGCTTTGGTGAGAGGAAGATCTTGAAAAGGAATTCCAGTCAGCCCTCCATATCCACAGGTATCAGCAGATTTAATCAATTGCAGACCAAAACATTTTTTAATTCATCTTCACTAAACACATGTATAGACTTTTTTCTTCTAATTATTCCCAAACCACTACATTATAACAACAATTTACATAGTGCAACAATGTATCCAATTGTGTAAGTAATCTAGAGGTGATTGAAGGCATATGGGAGGATACAAATAGGTTATTTGCAAATACTACAGTGTTATATAAGAGATTTGAGTATCCATAGATTTTTTTGGTATCTGTGGTTGTCCTGGAACCAAGTCTTCACAGATACTAAGGGATGACTGTATGTGGAAAGCTATATAATGAGATAGGAACACTTGGGGATTGACGTAAAGAGATGGACTTGTGACCATATGGATTTGTAACCATAAACAGTTATTAAATTCCTCTGATCTTCATTGTCTCTATGAAATGTAAATTACAATGCCTGACCCGATATTGTTTCACTAATTCTATAGATATCTGTTACATGTTCACTATGATATTTATAATATAATGCCATCTGGCATCTTTGAGGATTTGGAAGGTTGTGTGCACCTAGACAAAGAGTATTAGGACAGAGAGAAGAGGAGAAAAGAGTAAGTAGTGACAGGAACACACCCTTTTCATCTGCATTTCTCCTTCACAATACCATTCTGCTCCCCTAGAAAGCCTGTAAATAGTGGCAGGCTGGATTTGAGGTGACAGGTCAGTACAATGGACAAGATCTCAGGTCCTAGAAGCAGACTGCTTGGTTTCAAAATCCAGCTCCTCCACTTACAAGGATATGTGAGCCTGGGCAGCTTAACCAAACTTTATTTTTCAGTTGCCTCATTGATAAGAAAAGGCAATACTGTGCTGACACCATGGAGCTATTGTGAAAATCAAATAAATTCATACACGTAAGGTGTCTGGCACAAAGTCAGTGCTCACACATAGTAGTTACTATTCT